CATTTTATCAACCAGGTTGTAAATTTCAACATCAGAGAAAATTAGAGCTTGTTTGTCACTCTTCCTACTTGCCTTCTTGATGAGATTACAGTTTCCCTGGCCTTTAAATGATTCATTGTAAACCTGAGGGACAGTCTGATCTGGTCCCACAGAGCCAACCATATCTACATAAGGAGCCTTCCCAAGGTTTAAAACTGAAGCGGTTGGTGGTTGGGGAGGAACAAAAGCCATAGAACTGAGAGTTGAACAATGGCTAGCTACTGGGTTTGAGTCATGACTTCGACCGGAGCTCTCGTGTGTGCAAATCAAGAGTATAGGAGGATGCGAGTGTAAACGCTCAATTCTGAGCAATCGAGCCGAAGGCTTAGAAGAGATAGGGAAGAAACAAACTAAGGAAGACGTTCGTCACAACAATGCCTTTCAAAGTAGCCATTGCATGTAGGTTTAAGTGGAATGACTAATTTGGGTACAGAACAATTGTTTGAATCACAGCAAAATTATGCAAATAACATGCTTGTTATTATAAGTTTAGCTAATAGTTAAATTAATTAATATATCCTTATATTTTTAGAATTACGTAAGTACCTATATATACTGATGTACTTGGAGATTAATTGTCTAATTTGTCTTACCTTTATGATTCTCACCCATCATCTTCATTTTTGTTTCATTATTTTGCCAAAAATAGTTTTTCTTTGACTTTTTAGGTGGGATTTTCCGGTAGAGCGCATTTGCGCTTCTTGGTAGCTCTCGTGAAAGGTTGTTAGATCACTTTTTGGACATTCTTAACATACTAAGGAAGACGTTCATGGGTGTTAATGTCGTTTAATAAAAGGCTCATATGAGTAGTCTTCATCTCCACAATGAGAAAGCCACGTATGGTCATTGAGGTAGTTCCTAACATAGATAACACAAGATGATAAAAAAAATTTCTCCATTTTGTCAAGAAAGTTGTATATGAGGATTATGTAGAGCGTTGAGGTTGCTTCATATATTTATGAGCAATATTCATGAGATGGAGATGTGAGATTTGGAAAGGGGGTGGAGCTGATATTGGGAGCAGCCTCCGAGATTTTGTGAAGGAAGACCACTTCGAGTGTAGTGTGGGAGAGAGATGAGAGTGGGAATGAGGGGAAGGGTATTCATATATTATTATTATTATTATTATTATGGAGGCTGAACAACCCCCTTAATGTGTGCCTGTTATTATGCTAGGGCGTTTGAAAGAGTGTTACAAAATAGGGGTCGAATCATCCCCTTTTTTCAACTTTTTATTTTTTATCACTATTATTGTGCTAGGGTGTTTGAGGGAGCATTACAAAATAGGGGGCAGACCTGACCTATTTCCCCCTTTTTATTTTTTTCTTCATTTATTTTATTTACTTATTAATTTTTTCTCATTTTTCTTATTTAATTCATTTCTTCTTTTATAACTTATTATTATTATTATTATTATTATTATTCTCATACATTTATTTATTTATTATTATTATTAATATTATTATATATATCTATCTATATATTTATTTTTTGAGAAAGCCCAAGGGCTAATATATTAAAAAGAAAGAAATATACAAATTGATTGTATGAGAGAGCCCAAGCGTGACACCTTACCCATACGGCAAACATCGCATGCAAATGGTTCAAAAAAAAATACTGGAAAATACATGAGAGCCCAAAAATCAAAAGTGTCAAAACACATAGTATCAAATAGCAAGAGAGCGACTCAATTTTGCCTTGCCTCTGCCTCTGCCTCTAGTTCCAGGAAAGGAGCCAACTAACAAATTGATAAGATGAATGCCATTGCCATTAGTAACCAATGTATCATCCAATAAGTTTCCATTTCATCTTCCTCCTAGAGTAGACTTGTCATTCCTCATCCGAAGTCTGACTCATCTGATGAGTGAATTGATCTAAAGTGTGTCGGACATGTGTAGGTTGTTAAACATTGGAAGCATCTACTTGTTGTACAAACTAATCTTTTATGGGATCAAAAGAGCATTCTCGTGTGTCTTGGCATGTAAGTGAGTCTTCTTCCATAGCAATGAACAACAATGAGTGATATAGAGCATTTAGATCAGTACTAGTAGTATGGGGAGATATTTCATGAGACCTTAGAGTACCATGCTCCAATCCAGCAACTGGAATAGAGTGTTAAAAAGCAAGAGCATCCAGGGGTAGAACGGGTTGGGTATGATGTTTTTCATCTGAGACAACAAATGTTTGAATATGAGGGTCATTAGAAAATTTTTCATTAGGAATTATTTTAAAAATTATTAATGTTACTTTTCTTTTTTGATTTTATTTTAATTATTTTTATCATTTTATATCATTTAATTTGTTTGATTATTCTTATATTTTTTGAGATTACTTGTGTGCATCTGTGGGCTCCTTTTTTTTAGTTGCACTGGTCTAAGGATGCGTTTGGAGTAGCTTATTAGCTGCGGCAGCGTTTTGAAAACACCGCCTCTCTGTTTGGAAGAAGCGTCTGACAAGCTTATTGATTTTTCTTTTCAATTACACGTGGGCCGCGCCTGAATCCCCGTGGTCCGACGTTTCCTTCTCATCTTACGCTATTGCCCACTTCGCGTACCCTTTCTGCGTTCCTCCCGGATCCGCCCAAAAAACCCTCGCCCACTTCCCCTTCTTCCCGACTTCGCCCAAAAACCCTCGCCTTCACGATCCACCTGTTAGCGATACGATTGCTATTAGAGCTAGCTGGGAAGACAACTACGGGATCGCGGCATAATAGTGCTGCTGGATCGAATGGAAGAGGCCATGCAACATCAAATGGAAGAGGCCATGCCTTTGGCTGCTGGTTCGTGGTAAAGAGGTATGTGTGACTTGAGCTAGAGCAGGGATGAAGCGTGCGTGAAATCAGAGCTTAGGATAGAAATTTAGTTCTTCATGAATTCTCCATGGGGTTCCGCTCACAGGGGAAGAGATGGGAGGGCTGATGTGCAACGCCTACAATAGGGAGTTTGAAGACGATGCGGAGCAGAAGCTCCATTACCGTATAGAATGGCATCGATACAATCTTAAGAGGAAGGTACCGTTGTTTCCTTTCACATGAGATTTCTGTAATGCACAGACTAGGTTTTTGAAGCCGATTAATAATCTTTGAGAATAGACCTTTGGGTTTTCTTTTTCTTCTTCTTTTTTCTGAACTTCTTTCCATCTAGCTATTGGTTGGAGAGAAATTTTTCATATGTTAAGATGGGTTTCAACTAGGCTGCATAATTTGTTTGAAATTAAAGTATGTTATGCGATTATTAATGCGATGTATTCCAAATTCGGATAGAGATACCTAGGGTATGTAATTGCAATTATGTGATTTTTTTTAATTATTTATTTTTTAATTGTCTACAGTAATGATTTCTTTGCCTGAGGTAGTTTCAATGGTGGATCCTCTTAAATCTTTCCCAACTTATATTTTGTGTTAGTTTTATAGAAATGCAGATTTTCTTAATTTGGTTTCTTGAACCTGTAGCAATTTCTGAAGTTTTGGAGTTAAATATGAAAATGTAGATATGTAAATACATGAGAATTAGGTGGTTTGTGTGTAAATGCCCCTTGTTATTATGATTTGCTTTGAAGTTTTTTACTAACATATTAGGGAATAAACATTATTATTTTGCTCATCATCCATTCTTGTTTTTGTTTCAACATATTAATTTATTTTTATTTCATGCCTAGACAATCAAAAGGATGCCTAGTTAATTTTAGAATATATTGATTGTTGGATACTTTATTTGTTGTTGTCCGTGTAGTCATTAAAGTTCTAGTGTAAATAGTAACACTCGTCTGTCAGAATGATCTTTTATTTACAAAAAGCTGCAAATCAGCTGTTTTTCAAACTCACAAACTAGACAATTAAACAGTTTATTCAGAGACAGAATGACCAATTATCCAGAATCAACTATTCTTGAAACGCACAAAACAAACAGCCAACCAGCTTATCAGGATAAGCTGTTAATCTGCAGATTATCAAGATAAACTGCTTATCTGGATAAGCTAGATAAGCTGCAGCTGCCCCAAATAGACCTTAAGTGTTCATCGTCTCATGCAATCACTAAAATAATGAGTCCAGGTTGGTGTTTTGGACATGCCAATATGATTCATTTGACAAAATGTGCAATGGATTCAATATTATTTTCATGTAAATAATAAATTCTTAGTCCTCTTGCTAAATTGTGTTATCTTTTTGCAATTGTCATTAGATCTGATCTGGCAACTTGTGAATCACATTGGTGAACTTTAATAAATTTTCAAAGTAGTATTTTCAGCTTTCTTTAATAATTCAATTTTAACTAAAGTTTCTATTATCCTTACCTCCTATTATTTAACTAGATCGAAGTCACTAAAACTTTTATCTTTTGCCTTTGCTATTATTTATTTTATTTTCTTTCATTTAGTACCAAACTTATTATATTAATCATTTAGAATAATATTTTTTTGCTTTTTTCACTACCATCAGTACAACTTCTACTTTTCTTATAGTTGTTATAAATGTTAGGAGTAATTAACTTTTTCTATTGCACACTCACAACTGCATGCCCAAAATCAAAGGGAGGCTACAAGGACGGTCTCAACTTAGTGTTGGATATGGTAGTTTTAATAGTTTCTCGTTTGATTTATTGTTCGTTTGGTGATGTTGCTTGTTCTTTATTGGTAATAACCTTAGTATTTTCATCTATTAGCTCGGACACAACTAGTAGATATGCTAGACGATATACTAATTCTAATGTGAATAATTTGATATGTGCATAATCCTTCCTCGAGAACCAAGCAACTTTTCAACAACTTTAGGTCAACTTTCAATCTATTTTTGGAATTTGTTCATTTAATCTAATGGTGAAAAGAAGAAGGATTCATGTAGCCAACCACATACAGTGGGATAAAGGCTTGTTGTTGTTGTAATGTAACAGTGAAAAAACATGAGTACATCAATCATGAGGACTTGTCTTAACCATTCTTAAACTTAACCTAATAAAACACAGGTTTTCCTTCTCTTGGAGTGCTCCTTCAGAAATTGGAGAATCCAGCATTGCGCTCTTGTTTAAAAGTGCCATCCAATGAGGTATTTTTAGCTTTATACACTACTTCAAAAGTGGTTCATATTTTTTATGTTTATCATGAGGCAAAATCAAAATCCCATTCATTCCTTCATATATTTAACTATTACTTTTCAATGGTTGCTAATGCGTGATGATTGTCTATAAATTATTTTTTTCTGCAGTAATCATTTTTCCTCAGAACTTCTAATAAAATATAATGTGACTATGATACATGTCACTATATAGCTCAAGCCAAACCAGTATGTTTGATCATAAATTATTTCAGTAGGTTTTTACGGTTCTTAATGAATTCTAATGTTTGTTACTGATGTGTTTATATTTGGGCTTGTTGTATAAAATATGATATTACTTTATTAGAATTAAATGAAAATATGACACTCAATAGGATACAGTGGAGCAAAAAGATTAAAGTCATATTGTTGTTGTTGGTGACGTGTCATCATTTTAGAATTTGATTGCAGATGGTGAGAACCGTGATGATGAAGTTTAACAATATTCTGCATTGATTTTGCATATGATTTGGAGGTACTCAGAACATCATCAGCACATTTAATGACTTGACCTTTTTTTTTTTGCTCCGCTTCTAGCGGGATTAAGTTTTTGTTGTTGTTGTTCTTGCTGCTACTCCGCTTCTGACGGATACTGTAGTGGAAAAGAAAAGGAGCGATGCATATGATGAACATCGAAGGATATCACACTTGTTCTCTCGATCAAGTTCTGCCATGGAATGAGAGTGATTGAATTTTTTTTTCTCTTGAGCTACTCTTCACTCCATGGAATAACTAAAGCGTCATGTAACGACGATTAGCCAAAAATGGGCAGGAATAAAAATTCAAGTAGATTTTTTGCCATAATTAGGCAGCAATAAAAAAAATTACTTCTACATGATTTAATGGGCTACCTGTAATAAGAATAGCCTTACAACTAAGAAGATCTAAATACTTTAACTGACAAATTTATTGACATAAAATTGTTAGAGACAATGTTTATATTTTCGACTAGCTCGTACCGAGTTTGATTGAATACAGTGAAAAACGTTGGACAGCGGATGCATTATCTCAAAAAATCGGCTTGAAATCCATCCCATACAATTAAAAATACTTAAACATCGCCTATTCTTAAAAAGAACTGCATGATATGCTTGGAACATCAAAAATACTTTAGACAGGCTTCTTGCATTACCAGATTTTTGCATGATGAAAATTTCAGACAACAGATGCTTTGTCACTTGAATTCGGTTTGGTATGCTTCTATCTTAATGAAAATTGCTCAAGTGTTGGCTATTCACTAAAATTGGATGGCAGCAACTCGTTGAAACACCAATAATATCTTGAAATGAAATTTATATTGCGTGGGTCATTGCATGAGAACGAAAGGCAAATTTTTTGCACGCCAAGTGATGAAACACTATTTGAAATATATGAAGAATGAGAATACTTGAGAAACAATTGATTTATAAAATAATAATATAAATTCATTTTGATTTTCACATTCAAGTTGCCTGATGCAACATGTACGTGTGCCTTGCGATTGATTTGCTTGCCTTCGGCCCTCTCTGCACTCGATTGCAATTTAGATCCAAAGCTCACTGTACATACTTGCCATATTCTTGCATGCTCGCTACTTGATCATGTTGTGTAGCTTCATTGTGCTCAGTTTTTATCTTTATTTTGGCTTCGTGTTTCTCTAATTTTGGCTCTGCTTGCTCTCAAGTGCTGCTTTGGTACTTGCATTGTGAGGCATTATCCCGTCTAGATTAGAAGTTGTAAATTATACATTTAAGAACAGTTAGAAAAGCAAGAAAGCAAATCATTTCTCTTAGGGCTTTCTTCTTTTTTATATTGGTTCATTCGCCGCATTCTAGCATCATCGGTGTATTTGATTGTTAGTTCTTTACTTGCAATGCATTGCATTTATTTTGTGTTAAATTATTTTTTATTGAACGAAAATAATATTTATCTTTTTTTTACTTTTTAAAAGTAATATACATATTCATTTTTTAGTGAGCGGATACTAAGAATCCACTCACAAGATAGACAAGACTCAAAAAGATAACAAAAAGTATAAGTATACCTCAAAACAGTTGGACAATTTTCCCATAAGGATAAAATGGTCTGTCAGAGAGCTTAATCATGATAAGTGGGTTTTCCTCTCTCCCTGGTACTAAAGAGGGAGTCTAGCACCCAACTATGATAAAGGTTTCCACCCGAAATGAGCAAAGCATCCTCCTGTAAATTCCTGAGTTCATTCAATCCTTTTTCTTCTTCCTGATTTTGTAATCTTGCCAATCATCTTCTAAGGGTTGTCCAAACTTATCACTGAGTTGATCACCAATGGGGGCAATTTCTACCTGTTGCATACCTTGGACGTGGCACTCCGCCAAGGTTTAAGGGCCCTCAACATCAACAATAATTGTTTCCATAGCATATGAAGCATTATCTAGCACTAAAAGGAGAGTAACCTCTTTTTCGACAAAATGAGGGGGCTGAGGTAGTGAGGGGTGCTCCTCTGGGGCACAAACAATGGCAATATCCTCTTTAGTTGCAGTTTCCACCATATCAGCCGGTGGAATAGGTGCTTTTTGAGTAGTTAAATGAGGCACTTGAGGTTAGGGTCTCAAATTAGGGTGAAGCTTAAAACATTTTCAAGTGTGTGTCCAAACATCTTATAATGGGTACAATAGTATAGTCTTGGTTCCATGACAATCTGTTGCCAATACCTATTATGTGCAGTGCCAAGACAAATTTCTTCAATGCCAGGTAAAGTGATATCTCTCTTCACAGGGATCCTGAAAACATAAGGCTTGGTGAGATTAAAAGTGGGTATGTCTGATTTCATGGGTCTCCCAAGCATTGCTCTAATGGAAAAAAGGATCTGATGGTTGAAAAGAAGCAATTTAAGCTTAGGTAACTTAAGCCATATTGGTACTGTAGGTGGTTTTTGGTTCAGATCAAATTCAGGAGACCACTTGAGCAACTTCATAGTTTTTCCTTCAATGGTGAGGTATTTTGTGGAGAAAATCCTTGCATAGTCTTCATCTATGGTCAATTGTGTCATCACATGTCTCTTATGAATGAGACCCACCTGCCATTGTCCTACAAATTTTAGATCTTCAAAAGCTTTGCAAATAACCTTCGTTTTGGGATGTCATAACTAAAATTTCTCAGATTCTAGACCCTTTCCAAGCACCCCAACAAAAGATTATTTGCCTATGTACTAATTTGACGAAGGAACAGTGGCCATCAAACGCAGCAGAGAAAAAACAGAGAATAAATGGGAAGCTGATGCCGAACTCCATAAGGATCGCACTGCTGTCGAGCTGAGTCGAGGAGGAAGACGAAGGAGGAGCCGGTCGTGCCTAGCTGAGTGTCAAAGAAACGACGAACAGAATGACACTGCTGTCGAGTTGAGTCGAGGAGGAAGATGATGGAGGAGTTGATCGTGTCCTAGCTAAGTGTCGAAGAAACGACTAACAGGTTCGCTCTGCTGTCGAGCTGAGTCGAGGAGGAAGACGAACACACAACCCCTTCCCGTCTTGGGTAGAACATCACGGCTTCTACCGCGAAGCAGATGAAGAAGAGGATCACATAGTGTGCGATCTGTTGGTTTGAGCCGTTCTTAGGAAGAGGGGATCGACCCATTTCAGAGAAGAAGCTTTCCTCTGCGTGAAGAGTTTCGTGTGCGGTGCTCGCCTACTATGGAAGCATATATATATATATATATATGTTATTATGAT